AATACTTTGAGTAATGACAACGTCCAGAGGTATTCCATACCGGGTTTAGTTCCAATATTATGACCGATATCTGTGACTTCATGAGCAGTTGGGTGTCGTTTGTCGTTTTAGAGAATACTTTGACTAAAGACAACGTCCAGAAGTCTTTCATGCAAGGTTCAGTTGCAATATTATGACCAATATCTGTCACATCATGAAGTGTCAGGCACAGTTAGTTGCATTAGAGAACATTTCGACTATGGAAAATGCCCGAAGGCATTCTACGCAGTATTTAGTCCTTTCTTATGACCAATATCTGTTGTGTCAATGAGAACCAGGTGTGGTATGTTGCATTAGAGGATATTTCGAACACACACATCAACCTAAAGCCTGCTACTCTGGCCTCAATCGTAGTCTTACGACTGTCTTAAATCTGTCAGATCATGAAGTTTCAGGCGTGATTATTAAGTTGAGTGTTATAAAATATGATGTGTAAATGTACTGAAGGTATCAGCATATTCAGGATATTGTTAATAAATTTGGTAATGCAGGTATAGAAACCCGGTGGTTTGTAAACCTGATCAGGAGGGCAGCCGCCGCCTCATTCACCGAAGAGAGGAGGGGGGGGGAGCTCAATGTCAACTCCATATATTAACATAATAGGGAGGGGGCGCTAAGTCAGCCCTTACACGAAGGGAGGGCACTGCAACAAACTTTTGCCCCCCCCCTCTCCTCCTTAAGGATAACTCTGCACACGCCTATGATAGACGTACAGTATGCTAGACGCGAATGTTCATTCGCGGGCGCACGCACCGATGTTGATTTCTGGTGCATACCGCTGATGTTACTTTGGGTATTGGAATGTCAATTACTTCTAAAGTAGTCTAAACTGTGGTGGGGTGAAGCACTATCAATTTTTTAACGTGTTCTCATATCCTCTAAAACCTATAAACCCGCTTCAGTTAGGAACGTGCCGTTCTGTGCTGAACTTGGACAGTTCGAAGCCAAAAGGTCAAGCAACATTGTGCATCGGCCTTGGACGCGTGGAAGTGCTTGCGCGCCCTTTTCCTCCACAGGCGCGACTAGACGCTTTTGACGCGTAGGCGCGTGCATACGCGCGCCAGTGGTTGGCACTTTAGGGTGCAAAAACGGCTGGAGTGTGACTTCCGTAGAATAAATAAAAAAATTCTGTATTGTCTTAAAAAGAACACACTGTATTTCGAAAACACTTGAAACACAAAAGAAAGGCAAACATACACGTGTATTGGTCAAGGAATTCCTACAAAAGGCTATGCTTACTTATGACGCTAAGTTGCGTGACGATGTTCAAAACGAAATCACTAATCTACTAAGTGAACACTACTGACGCACGCGCGCGATGAAGCCATGCAGTTCCTTTGACGCCATTTGCGAATGATCGAATTGATACGCCATGAAGTAGCTCGCGCCACAACTTTCTAATGTAAACAGCCGCCGTCGGTTATTCAGTCATGAGCGTTGTCAATGTGGCATTTGAAGACGTCGCGTAAAACAAGAAGTAAATGCAGGAAATCAGCGGGAATGCCATTGTGGTCACAACCTTCAGGAAGAGGCCGACTGAGCTATTCCGGTGCTTGTGACCTGTTGTCAAACTTGCTTTAGGCAGGCTTGACGTCGGGAGAGCAATCGCGTTAATAAGACTTTCAAAGCGTTTTACAACAGTGGAAGAACAACCAGTCATTGCACAATGCGATTAGCGTAACGAGTGGGCCGTCCAATGCTCCAACCCATTACAAAAGCTTGTTCTTGTTTCCCTATTAACTGTGGTGCATACCCACTTCAGCCATAATTCCTCATTGTCGTCAGCCACAGCATGGACAATTGACACAAAATTCCTGGCAAGTGTTTAGCGGATACCACGCTTCTCAGAAGAAAGACGAAAAATAGCATGGCGAACGCCGGCGTACTACCCAAAAGTTTATTATTAATTCCCTAGTGGGTACCAAGCAAGTGCGCTTGCAGTATTTACCCAATGAGTGTTTTGAAAAAGGCTCTTGAAGGCCACTCTTCTAGCTTTCGCTGTGACTGCGTCCAGCGCCCATTGCGCAAGCTTGGCGTTTTTAGTGTACATCTTAAGTACGTCATACTTTACAAATTATAAATGGGAAAAAAACGAAAATTTAATATATTAACAGTACATCAATAAAAACGTGCGTATATAAATAATAAATCGAGTAATTTGCAACAAAATATAATTAATTTGGGACAAAGAAAAAAAAATGATGTAAACGTTGAATTTATCATTATAGCCTAAGTCTACTGTTCTTTTTCAGAAACTCCTGCAAGGCACCGGCAAACTCTCCATCGCTCTGCCGACTGAATGAGCTCATTAAAAGTGAATTTTATACACTCCATTCATATAAAGTGGCTGAATACTGCCTATAACACATTTTTTTTTTCCCGCTAGGAAGCATATACCTTTCGATCTGATATGTGGGGTGTAACGTCCCAAAAGCACCCTACGATTATGAGAGGCGCAACAGTGGAGGGCATCGGAAATTTCGACCACCTGGGGTTCTTGCACCCAAATCTCAGCACACGGGCCTACAAAATTTCCGCCTCCATCAGAAATGCAGCCGCCGCAGCCGAGATTAGATCCCGGGACCTGCGGGTCCGCATCCGAGTACCTTAGCCTCTAGACCACCGCGGCGGGGCAAGCGTATGTATATTTTTTTTTCAATTCAAAATATTTTCGATGGTCTCCTGGACTACACAAAAAGACAACAGCTGAAGAATTGAATGGAAAACATTAAGAAGGGTGAATGAATTGGGGGGCTCACTTTTGTTGGCCTCAACTTGAAAGAAGCCGGGCGAGCTGCAGCGGCCACTGGTGTCCTGAATTGGGCAAACCACCCTTCACATTCGCACGTCTTTTTTCTTTTTTTGACAAATAAGATGTTGCATCATCAACTAAGTGATGCCAACATATAGTGTAGCGGAAGGCATATATGCCGGACGCATCATTTTAGTGTTCAGTAACTGTTGTAAATGTCAGTGAAGAGAAATGGGAGCCGAGCTCACACACTTTTTATGGTGGGTCCGAGAAGACGGCTATGAGAAGGGTTATGATGATGATTGTGATGACACGATGATCACTGCTGACTTGTAATGCTGTCGCAGAAGTGGGGAGTAGAACAGAGATGGTGAAACCAAACAAGATGCTATGACTATCAGTATAGTTAACAATGTGCAAGAGAAATTCAGTAAGACAGAACATGATTGGTCATAAACCTTTCCACATTTGTATTAATTGGATGAAAATCCACATGTAAACGCCTCAGTGCGGTTGTTAAAATGACCCATATTTGACTTGGGATATTGTCTGGTGGATACAGGTGTATAGCGGGCGGGTAAAATCAACACAGGGGGGATGTCATTTAAAGTCAGTCAGACTGCAAGTAAACGTCGAGCTGATGACGGTATGAGAGAACGAAATGCTGAGGCATTTGATGATGCGTGGGGTGTGGGTGAAAAATACGAGTCGCTGAGACAATAAGTGAAACAAGTATGCACTAATGAGTGCTATCAGTATCGTACGGTTGTATTACTAAGTGCGCTTCCAAACAAGCCACCTCGGTTAGGGTTTACTTCTTCTTCATAGCGGCATTACAGAGTGACATCGCTGTTAGGTTATGCATCATACCTTTTCAATAATAATATTTGGTATTTAACATCTCAAAACTACCATATGGTTGCGAGAGACGCTGTAGTGAAGGGCTCGGAAAACTTTGATCATCTGGAGTTCTTTAGCGGAGAACTGGATCTCAGTACACGGACTTCAAACACTTTTACCTCAATCGAAAACGCAGCCGCCGCGGCCGGGATTCGATCCCGCGACCTGCGTGTGAGCAGTCGAGCACCGCTAGACCGGCCACCATGTCAGGGTGCATCCTTCCGTTTTAAGCACCCGTGGCATAAAACGGACGCCACTATAAGTGAATGCGGTGCACATGCTCTTTTCAGTGTTTACTATGCAGTCTTTGTAGGTTTTCAGTTGCTGCTTCATAGATTTTCAGTGCATCAATAATAACTAGGATATCGTGACGATCTGTTATTTTGTTTGTCTAAAATGTGAGCTGCGTGGATGGGGAATTGCGTGTACGACCATTAGAATGGCGGAGCTATGGTGCAGAGACACGCAGACAGCAAAGTTTACTTGACGATGCAGTTTTTCCAGATTATTTTCTTGGTTTTGAACGTTGCGGGCCCAACTTAGGACATGTCAAGCTTGAAGTACGGAATGACCGCGGTTTCTGTCTTCATGCTACACCGGACAATTGATTTTCTATGGCTTCAGGGACGGCTTTCAGCTCTGCCATAGAAGTGTACCGAGTACTCAAAATCGTTAAGCACTTTTTCCAAACACACAATGGACAATTCATTTCGCTTTTTTTTCCATGTTACTTGCCGGGAAAAGACACATCCCAGCTGCTTGCTATCCGAACTCAGAGTCACGTTTCATACTTATTGCACAAGGGGCCTACAATGCTGTCACTTGTAAGGATGAAGACATGGTTCTGAAGTGTCTGTTATATTTCATTTAAAGGACAGTCATTAGAGCCACTGTAACAGTCTGTAAGAGTTCATTTGCTCGAATTCCCAACTTCGATGAGCTTTGGTTCATTTAACATTAAGTATCTGGCGAGGAGGAAAGAGCAACAGTCCCTGTGTCGCGTAGCATGACAAGACGGATGACACAGCTCCGCGTTTCTTGTTGAAGTAAGACACATATTTTTCAAAGATTCTCCCTTGGACTAAAGAGCACTGCATGTGTGCAAGCTTTTACTCGGCTACTTGGAAGCATCGTCATAAAACAAAGGCGAAGGACCTATTTCAGCTGAATCCAAGATAAGAAATAAAACCAGCATGCACTACGGCTTGTATGAATCGATAACCTTCGATTTGAACAGGCGGCTTGTGCTTTAGAGCCAAAAGCTCTCCGCATACACAGTGGACACAGCAGATTCCAGTAGCTCTTAACAATGAATTATCTGCACATACTGGTGGGTGTCGTCTGCTTTGTTTCGTACCTATATCAGTTCTACACCTTACTTACCTACTATCTCGAGTTCAACTTCAGCGTCACCATGGACGAACGTCAGAGGAGTGACCATATCGTCTTTCCCGCGGTCACAGTATGCGTGGATGGTTGGTGAGTATATGGCAAATTGTATTGCGCGGTGTGACCGGGCTCGTATGCATCGCGGAGAGTCTGTTCCACCATGACGTGAACAAAGTGCTAGGAAAGCGCAACGTTCTTACCGCTCTCCATGTTTACGCGTTCAAAGAACGTTCGGCACTTATAGGCTGAAACGCGATTCTTGCTCGGCTGCGGCTGCCGAGCAAGAATCTCTGCTGCCCTGGTCGGATTTTGATGGATGCCGAATGCTAGAGGCTCGTGAACATCACGATGTTGGTGCAAGTGAAAAACGAACAGATGTTCGAAATTTTTGGAGCCTCCACTGGCGTGCCTTATAACCATAACGTGGTTTTGGCATGTAAAACCCGATTTATTACTATATTACATCATATTTATTATAACGGCGGCTATGGGTGATTACCCGTTATAACCGGATCATGCCGCTGCAAATCTGCAAGCTAAATGATTTGCTGGGTCGAAATCAAGCCGGTATGAAACGAGCTGTAGAAGCCGGAAGCGAAAGTACATGCACGCGTATACTTGGCACCAAATCGTCATGTTTCAGAAAAGGACGAGGGATTGCTGCCTTCTTTAGACGACTCTGCCATCGGCTCACGTTACTGAATGAAATCGTTTCCTACTCCTCCCTAATCCTTGCGTGCTGTGGCTATGCCAGAGCTTGTATGCGCAGTAAACGTCGGGAAATGAATGTAACCACTACTCAATAACTGAAGCATGATGTATACGATGGTATAGTTGATATTCGGTAGTAAAAAGCCCCACGAGATAGTGTGTAGAAAAATGAGATGAATTACCGAGTCAAGAGCTGGCTGCCGATTACATATATATATATATATGACTTAGTAAGTTATTTCCTTTTTTCCACTTGGTTGTCTTACACAGGCTGAGCTCCGAGAAGCTCTGCAAGTACACGCCAGAAAAGTGCAATAAGCATGACATGGTGAGTTCACCTCAACCACTTAAACTAAATGATTTGCATAGGTGCGTTACCGCTATGTATCCGCCTTTGTACGCTGCATGACATGCGAAGCCATGCTGGCTTCATGTGATGGCTCATGGATGCCGCACAGTGTATTTGTGGCATCTGCATTTTGCATGAATAGATGCAGGAAACATGAGCTGTACTTGTACATGTATCGTATATGGAGTATGTTACTTTTGCTTATTTCATTGCTCTTGCCATATTGCTTCCCGATTGTGGACGTTAGTTTTTTTGGCAAGTCTGTGCGAAATAGTAGAAACCTCTGGATATGTATGTATGTATGTGTGTATGCATGTGTGTGTATGTATGTGTGTATGTATGTGTGTTTGTATGTGTGCATGTATGTATGATGTGTGTATGTATGTGTGCATGTGTGTATGTATGTGTACATGCATGTATGTGTGTATGTATGTGTGCATGTAAGTGTGTATGTATGTGTGCATGTGTGCATGTGTGTATGTATGTATGCATGTATGTATGACATTTGTTAACGTATTTATACACCGGGTTTCACTTATGAAAATTTGGTGAATCGGCGTTGTATATCTTTATTGACTTTATGTATGAATGTTGAACCCAGATATACGCTCCCGGCCTGTACCTTCCCCAAGCGAATCCAGAGATGCGCAAGAACGCGTCCTTCCTCGTGCAGGAGCTCTTCACCTGCGTCATCAGTTCAGGGAGTCAACGCTGTGCCACATTTAACTGCACTGACAGGTGTCAGCGTTATTCGTATGACTGCACATATTCTCGTTTGCGTTGACAGCATTCGTAAGAGCATCGCAAATGTACAGCGTTTACTTCAGGCGCAAACTATTTGCGCTTTGCACTCGATACACTGGTGGTACAACTGTAAAGTGTTAGCTGCAGTCATTAAGATCTTGCCGCAGAAATGTTCGCTTCGCAGCAGCGGTGAGGCGCCTAAGCTAAAACACTCTCCGGACATTTAAAACATTGGTTTCCGGGATTTGTTGCGTTAACAGGACTAAAAGATTGCCAATGATTACGATACTCACTTATCAGAAACTGGCGCACAGCTGTACGCTTTTCATTTGGCGGTATATCGACGGAAAGAATTTGAGGGAGACGGGTAGCTGAAGGGGTGGTCGAAAATTATCAGAACTCGCTGTCAAGTGCATGTGACAGCGGCCGAGGAACTTTGACCCACCAGTTACAGTTTCGTCACCATGGGCTCTTCGACCTCATGGACCTTACGTTGGAGGCCCACGGCACGGCTTCGTGCTCTCCCACAATAGAGTCCCTATTACTCTGAATCGTTACCCACTTTTTATAGACACACACCATGTTCTGTTGGATTGTAGTTGATGTTAACTGTTCGTGAGAATAAATTTCTCTAAACACAGGAGGAGGAAGAAAGTTTAAGCGGAAAGACAGCTACCTAAAACACAGCTACCTTTCTATTTTAATAAGCCGTTGAGGTTGCTTATTTCCGTATGATAGATGTATATGCTATTTTCGCCGTAGGATCTGGACCCCTTTCTGCACTGCCCTGGTGGAGTTCCATGTACTATAAGTTGTTAATCCATTTTTCTAAACACATGGTTATATTATTTTATGCGTTCATTATTCTACCCTTTCTTGAGTATTTCATTTTTATTTATCTTGCTTTGCACCTACTGCAGTTAAAGACAGCCCTTTATATGACTTTGCACTGAGTTTCTATCTTAGTGTTTTCGTTCTTTAAGAAATATTTTTTTGTTTCTTTTTTACTTTAACAACGTGAACTGCAGAGAAAAAAAATCACGCTCAGTTGCTCAAAACGCGAAAGCCAAAATTTAGAACTACAGCTAAATCTACAAATCCTATGCCACTTTAAGAAGTTGCAATATATATACAATATTTAATGTTTTATTTTTTTTATCAGAAAAGAAGGCGGTGAGGACTAAAGACTTGAGAGCCTGACAAGGGTACGCGCGTCCACTTTCACTTCAGACAGCGTTTGGCAATCTTTACGTCTCTTTATGTCGACGTAGGCTGATTTTGATATTGCATTGAAGTTATTCAAAAAGCAAACAAAGGAATATTTATTCGAACTTGATTCGTGTTTAGTTATAAATTTGTATTTTGTACCAGCTTGTGTTTTGTATAGTGATTAGTATCCTGTCACCGCTGCATGCTTAACAGCAGCATTTTGTTACACTTGCAGTTGCGGCTCACATTGCAAGTACGTGCTTGCGTTTTCCGATTTTAGACTCTACAAGGGAGCCGAAGCCTTCGTCATGCATTGCAGCCTTTGGCCCCGGCTATCCATTTTCGTATGAAAGGAAATAAACTTCACATCACAATGAAACACAAGGCTTAATATACTGTTATAAAAACCAAAAAAAATAATTTTAAACTGAATAGAGGCGATATACGCACACGTATTATTTACATATTTATATACAGTTTAGATTTTATCTAAAGATCACCAAATTTGGATCCACAGTGTATGAATTTAACTAATAAACACATAATGATATTTTACCTCCCGATTCCGTGATGAGATTAACGAGGGAGGTGGCTACACCTTGGCAAGGACGTCGATGAAGTACTTTCGATTCGTCCACCCATTGTTCGCTCGCTTACAGCGATGGATGAGTGACGACGTTTAACTATACGCTATAGCAATACTCTTCTAACTCGACCAAAGAAAGGGTGCCTAAAAGCTGTACTTTAGAAGAAATGTTCAAGTTGATTTAATAAAAGATTTTTTTCGATATATAGAAATAACTGATAAAGTGATGTAATACACTTACCTGATGGGGCAATCCACCCTTTTTCCTAAGGTTTAAGTTAGTAACCGGTCGGCCATTCTGAATTTCGCGCAGATAGCGCAAAAAAAAAAAAAATGCTATGAACATTTGATATCACCTTCGTGGCAGCGCACAGATGTAACTAGTTTGAGCGACATTGAACGTAGGTTGGAGTTAGTGTAATGATGTTTTCGTGGTGCACCTTTTGGATGTCGGGTGTTCATCGGGGTCACGCATGTGATCGCAATATGCTCGGTTCACTGACGTAAGCTTATTATTGCTTTTCTTCCCCCCTTCAACTGCTTTCCATCAGAATCAGCAGCACCTACTACCGGGTGCCGTCGCAGCAGTGCTACACTTTCGATGTGAACGCCATACCAGGACACGAGCACCCTTTCAGGGACTGTCCGAACCAGTGGGAGTGGGGTGAGTTGAACGAGCCGCGGTGTTGAGTGATCGTAAATACTTGACAACTGTAGGCCGAAGATCACGCCACTTGAGCGAGGCCACGGTGGTCACACCTCGACGGAGGAAATGTTTTAGAAGCCATTGTCCTTAAACTCAGGTGCATATTAACGATCCCCAGGGGGTCGAAAGTGAAATGACGAATACCGCACACATAGTCGGCATCGGAACTCTAGAAGCTGGAGCGATGGTAAACATATAGTATATGAGCACATCCTTTTCTCTTCAAGATTGTTTCGTTCGCCCGCGTTTTGAAAGAACTATAGTTATTGCTTGCTGATATTGTCCGTCCACTTTGTAAAGTAGCGAGTAAACACGTTGACAATCTGTTCACTCCGTAGAGCTGGAGATGCATTACAAGTTTTCGAAACGTGACACGATGTTGCTACTGCCTCGCTGGTTCTACCCGCTGTTCGTGCACCAGACCGGGCTGTGCCCTCCCGATCAGCTCTCTGCCGTGCAACTGCTTCCCGGAAAGACAATCGAAGTTACCGTCAAGCAGGTGAGCATGACGACCTCTAAGGTGCCCTGCAACACTTTTTGAGCATGGTCAGAAAACGCTGCCGATCGGTAGTAAAGGTTCCAGACAACACGCGAGCCAAATATTATAGCGCAGCACGTGCGCCTGAAATTCACAATACATTATCAAAGCTAGCTCTAAATTGCTTTTTTTTTCTCTCGACAAATGATGTGAGACGCTCAAAAATCACCCCTAGAAAGCCCATCTATCAGCCATTGCCTGATTTGAACATGGCGCTACAGATATCGTCGCGAGAGGCCGCGACTGGTCCACGCGTGTGCGCGCGATCACACTGAAAAATTGACAGCATATACACGGACTGAATGATGATAAGTGGGACGAAGCGTCCGTCAGTCCGTTTGCACTTCCGTCCATACGTGTGTCTGTACGTGAGTCTCTCCGTCTGTGTGTCCTTCCATGTGTCCGTCTGTCCATCCGTGCGTGTGTCCATCCATACATCCGTCTGTCCGTCCATCTGTGCGTCCGTTCATGCGTCCATACGTCCGTTTGTGCGTTCATTCATCCGTCCGTGCATCTGTCTGTCTGTCTGTCTGTCTGTCTGTCTGTCTGTCTGTCTGTCTGTCTGTCTGTCTGTCTGTCTGTCTGTCTGTCTGTGTGTCTGTCTGTCTGTCTGTCCGTCCATCTGCACGTCCATCTGCACGTCCATCCATCCGTCTGCTTGTATGTCTGTCCGTCCATGCGTCCGTCCGTCCACCTATCAAGTGAACACTCAAAGTACCGCCATCTCGCATGTTTTCATCATATATTCATCACATAAAAGTACCGTCATCCAGCGGACATTATAATTACTAAACGAGAGATGGCTGCCTAATATTACCACTACTACTACTACTACTACTACTACTACTACTACTACTACTACTACTACTACTACTACTACTACTACTACTACTACTACATGCATCGGGGACACACGACCCATGGCATAAGGAGCAACGCCCATAAAAGCTGTGCCTTCGAAGAAGAAAAAAAGTGCTCAAGGTTGCGAGGCGTGCCTGACTTTATTTCTTTTCTTTTTGTCCCTGCCATCCCTCCCTGCTTAGCTACCAGCGCTTTCGTCGAGACGAGAGAAGAGAGGATGTAATTGCAGCATGCAACAAATTTTTATAGCTCCACTCGCACTGGACGGATTATTGCAATTTTTGTGGCATTGAATTTGCGAGGCATAAGCTCTTGCAGAAAACTCATTCCATGGTTACTTGGAAAAAAGTATTTCAGGACCCATTTAAGGCCTGACCACGCGCACACGTTTCAGCGCGTAGAATTTTGACGATGCGCCGCGCCCTCTCCGGAGACTATGGAGAGAGGCGGTGTGCAGCTTCGCGTACCTAAAACCCCTTGCCCATGTGCCTTCGCCCTCTATCGAGAGAGGGAGCGGCGTCGCGTCGGAAAGCCCCGCGCTGATGTGCTACAACGGGTGCGTTTGGTTAGGACTTTCGAGCACGCGTGCCCAACGCGCGCTCTTCGTGCCATCTCATTACTGATTACTAAAGCGCGCTGAAATTTCCAAGCTCTGAGGACGGCAGTGCTATATGGTGTATATAAATGGCTCGCTGGTAACGTGTTGGACAAGGGTCGCTCTGTGGTGTAGTGGTTAGCGCCGCGAGCTCAGGAGTGCGAGGTCGCTGGTTCCACGCCTTGCTGTGAAAATTTTCCTTCTCGTTCTTTGCAATTTGTTAGTAAATATTTTGCAACTTCTGTGACGGAAATACGTTCCGGAGCCGTGGAAGACCTAAACATAAAACACAATAGTGTCTAGAAAAGAAGCGCGCGAAAAAGATGTGTCACGTTCGTTTTTCACATATGCATCGAGGCTTACCTCCCAATTTCCTACCCCATTGAAATTCATCTATATATGAAAGAAAGAGAAAAACAAATAAACTGATGATTACATTAGGTTTATTCTGAATTTTGTGCTGCAATTCACTCTTTTTTCTGTGCACTTAAGGAAACTTGCAAGAGTTTTATAGGTATGCAGAGAAGCCATATGCCCGTTCTTGCAAGATTCAACAACAACAAATGACTGTTACCACGAGGTTGATAAAAAAAAGAAACATTACTAGCTCAAGCTTAACAAGTGCCTTGGCGACCGCAAGTGTTCATAGTTGACAATGGCGCTGAAGCACGATACACAATACGAAGAAAAACACATGGACGGGCGCGGGTACCGGCCTGTGTTTTTCTTCGTTTTGTTCATTGTCTTTCTGCGACGTTTTAAACTATGAACCCGCACGAACTCGCTCAACTTTCAGTGCTACTGACCGGAAGTGCCGAATCAAGCGCAGCACCGTGTCGGACCAGGGAAAGTGAAGCACCTTCTTCCATGAGCAAGCCCGTGCTCAGTTGTACTTGCAGCCAGAATCGACCACAACTGCTGGAAATAAATATAGCTCGTGATGTTAAAGCATAGGTTCTTTCCAATGAAGCTCATGCCGTTTTAAACACGCCTATTTAGTTGCGTTCTCTAGATTTGGGTCCTTATTCCTAATCTCACGCTATTCGGCTGATGACAAATACTGCATTTCCGCCGTCAGTAATAAGCACCTCCTGTCTGAAGGCTATATACAAAAGTTACCTCGCGAATATTTATGAAAACTGATTAGTTGGGATATTGGCAACGTTATCAAAGTAATTGTTAAAACTAAGTTCAATGAAGACAACATCTTCATAGTCGCTGTAGCAGTGTTGTCCCAGTTCTGTGTAATTATTACATTTGTTATACGCAACTGCAACCTCTGTGGCCCGGGCCGTAGCCGTCTCCTTGCCTTTCTGCGGCCCCACCGTATGGTCTAGTGGCTAAGGTACTCGGCTGCGGACCCGCAGGTCGCGGGTTCGAATCCCGGCTGCCGCGGCTGCATTTTCGATGGAGGCGAAAATTTCTGAGGCCCATGTGCTCAGATTTGGGTGCACGTTAAAGAACTTCAGGTGGTTGAAATTTCCGGAGCCCTCCACTACGGGGTCCCTCATAATCATATGTAGGTTTTGGGATGTTAAACCCCCGCATATTAATCAATTTGCTTTTCTGCACTGACGAAAATACGCCTCAAAAACATTTGATGCAGCTACACACCTTCCGGCTTCCTGCTCCTTACAAGAGCACGTGCACCGATTACAAGTCACAGGGATCCTTTCCGGAATTCCAAGGAATGCTAAACTACGACGTAAGTATCCTTGACCATGCGAGACTGATAGTTTACGCTTATGTACTTTAATAAAATAATTAATAAAAACTTCATTGAATCAAACTTTATTACGTCTAACATGCTGTTTATTATTTTTATTAATTGTTTTGTAAGGTTTTATTGTATTAATTGTTTGTTTATTATTTACTAGTATCAAGCGAGCTCATTTCTTGTTTGCTCTTAGCGTCGCGTAAACAGAAAGTGCGACCACATACTCCTCATAATGAATATATCTGTTTTCTGCAGGCTCAACAAATTATTAATTTCATTTACTATAACTGGTCTGCCCAAGCTTTTTTTTGCCTTTTTGACGCCCAAAAATTTGGGCCTGAATCAATGCGTGAGCTTTTGAAGTTCACATTAGCATTTTAAAAAAAATTGTGGTAATACAAATAGAGTAATTAATGCAACTACTCGACGCAGTTCTGTTTATTCGTGGTGCCTACTTCTTACAAAAGCAAGTGAGCTAATTTCATGTTTTTCCTAAAATCTAAAGGAAGCGTTCAGTCACGGCGCGCAAACTTTTCTCGTTGACAAAGCGGCATTAATCAGCTTGCTTAAGAAGAATCGAAGAAAACGAAACGTTTCGTACGTAATGTCTTAACTTTGGCTTTTCTTACATTGTAAAACCGTCACTACGACATTGATTCACACATAACGTACTTAATAGTGGAATAGAATCAGCAGAAAATATGCACTGCCGTCGTAACGGGCTGTCTACCACGTACCTCACATTCGCCTCCGCAACCACTTTAGAATAGAATTTTCTTTTAATTAAACTTCTTCGAAACAGTGACTCCCAAGTGATTTTATTAGGTAAGATAAGTCAGAAAAAGAATGACCCCTCCCCCCAGACTCACTGGCCGCAATTATATTAAAACAACCTCAATGGGCGCAATATTATCTGTTACAGCTCACTGCATTGTGCTCCAACAGGTTTACCTCGTCACAGACTCGCTGGAATTTATAGTCGATCTATTATTACCCATAGAGGTTAGACCACGTTGCACTTGTTAGGGCTCACACATTGGGCTCCCCTCATTCCGATACGTATCTGTACGCCAGAGCAAGCTGCATGGGCCCCATGGTAGTCGCATCATTAGGAATCGCCACTCGTATGCCCAGACGACCACCCTGAGCTACCGACAGTTGCCAAGAGAAGCCAATGCGCTTAGCTATAGTAGTTATAGTTCTTACAAATATTTTTTTTTGGAAACGGTGATGCTAGTTCGAGCGAGAGCATGATAATCGTGATTTTTTTTCATATTCCTAGAGCTTCGAAAAAACGAGATACAAAAAGAAAACAATAAACGATTACACTAGATTATGCATGCTAAAATGGCTTAATGGGAATATACCGGATACAGTAAAACGCTTCCTCATCAGGACCCTCGCTTCTTCAACTAAGCTAATGTTTCTCCAATGTACTCAGCTAAACCAAGCATAGCACTGAAAAGTGCTTATGATAACAAAGTGAGCGAGCTCAAAACTGAACATCAAATAGATTCTACATTTGCGTATCGTATAAAAGTTGTATATATGTTACTATTACTTGGCATATTAGATAATGTTAATAGGGATGACCTGTATTAGAAGACTAACCTCTCACACAACCTTCTGGTCATCACAGCTATGCGTGCAAAAGTGCGGCATGGAGCTGGAAGTGACACACTGTGGCTGCGTTCAGGCTGTCTACGAGTTCACCGCCAGTTATCCGTTCCCAACGTGCAACTTCAGCAGGTCAGGTAAGCTTTCCCACCTTACTCTTTCCATTTTATATTTTCAGAGACATGGGCACCGAGTTCACTTCCAAGTACTTTGAGCCCCCCCCCCCCCTCCCTTCTTATTTTCTGAATATTCATAAAAAAAAATCGTTAGATGACGTACCATAGGAGTCAATGTTATGCGAAGCATGTCTAAGGGAGGTGACTGTGTTTTCATTTCGTTATTGAGTGCCATGTTAAGAAACGACGCTAAATATATGTATAAGTGTTGCACGCACAGACATGTTGAAGAGTTGCAAATGGTTATATAACCAGCTGTTTGTACCTGTACAACGACGTCAACACGAACACAATTATTAGCAACACCTAAGCGATGAGGTGATGTGAAGCGCTGGTGTTCGCGAAGCTGGTGGATCTTGGTACTGCTACATAAATGAACTTCAGCGCAGGGCACCTAACTACAATTGACATTATCCCGACGTGACGGCTGCATCAAAAGAGTACATATGTAATGTTTATGAAATTGTATAGCCAGCACTTCAATCACAAATGCAATTCACGAACATTAGGGCTTATTTGGAAAGTAATTTCAAGACCCATCGTGGCTCTGTGGTAGAATGCTTGAATGCCACGCTAATAGCTTGTGTTTGATTCTTTCTGGGACCCTGACGTTTATTCTTCGAACTCATCATGTCAACGCAGCCGATATGAGGCGTTTCTTAACACTCTCGCATTAACATTGCCTGTGTGTGTTCTCGTCGTGCCTGGGTACATACTAAGTGTCAATGACCTGTGCCACATACCCGCATAGCAGTGACACATACCTCCCATCGGTTAAGCGCCACTGTTTTGTGGGAAGTGTTCAACTACATACGTGACGGGATCGTGACTTTATTCATGTCTTGACCAGCGCTTTATATTCGTCAAACCATCTTACCCTCCCATACTAATTTCGGTTCATGCCAAGTTAAAGAAGGGGTGGACACTCGAGCATCGAGACGTAAGCGGATAGATAGATAGATAGATAGATAGATAGATAGATAGATAGATAGATAGATAGATAGATAAATAGATACGCAGGCCGAAGCCAAAAGTGCTTGTAGTGCGCAAAGAATTGCTTTGCATTTATTATCTTCTTAAAATAAAGACTGCAGAATATCAATACTTCTGGTTTAAATTAACAGTATATTGGACACACACGATATTGGAACACAATTTTATTTAATATAAGCGCCATATAATTGCTAAAGCGGACGCTTTTTATGTGAAATGCTGGGATTCTTGCAGCACTTGATGGAGCAGATCTTAACCACAGGGTGATTCCTACGTGACCTCTCAGATCCGCTTCGCCAGCGCTACACAACACAAAGTTAATCGAACGAATACAAAAGTGCACACAAACGTCCACGTGCGACTGATGCAACAGAGCCATGGAATAGGGCTGCCTACAATATTTTTTCTCAAGGCGTCAATCCTACAGAAGCACCTTTAGTCCGTTTAGTCTCCATTCATCAAAGCCCCATAGTCTTGTGTTAAATGTTATTCGGAACACGTGCAATAATGGACTCCGCGGTGATCGTTTATCAAACAGCTGCCGCAGAACGCACATCCTGTATTTAATAGTTAGCATTCAGTTGCGACTGGAGTCGACTTGCGTAAACTTTCGTTTCACTTTTCCTTCACATAAACTCGGCCTTCACAAGCTAGTGCATGCCCGGATGCGTACGTGTGCGAGTTACGAAGAACATGAACCTTAACTTTTTAAAATATTCCGTCTGTAAAAAGCGCAATAATGAACAGCTGGCGCTTAGATGATATGCCAGGCCACCACTGTGGCTACGTGAAGGACGTAACACGCATACAAAAGTGTCTTTAAAAAATGTGCAGAACGGGACTGACGGCGTATAATTTGCTCAATGAATCGGCATGTTCACTATTTCATCAGACGTCAAAGTCTGGCCTAACTTTTTGAATGATAAATAGTTTGAAACACCACACCTGAAGTGTTTTGTTTTCTCTTTCTTTTTTCTTTGACGGTGCATGCAACTTTAAATGCAAAGAAGTGCATCATATTTGACCAGGTGCAATGAAACCTGCCTAAATACGTGCATCGATATTTCACGAATCAAATAATATAGTGAAACTTCGCAAGGGTAATCATTGTTAGTGGTTCTTCGGGAAGCAAACTATGAGGCCTTTGTGAACGTTCAAGTAAGGCAAGTTCAAATGAAGGTGATGTCTGGAAGAGATGAAAAATCATTTTATAGTTGTTGCTTGAAGTAGACAAAATGACCTGTCAAAGTGTTGCATCAGTCACAGTCTTGTCGAATAATTTTTCGCGTTTTCGAAATTTGAACGCACGCTGATTTCATTATTCATTAGTTATACACTTCTTACATGATCACCTTTACTTATAAATTATTCGCTTTTTGGTCAATCCCCTTGAGCGAGTGTGAGCCATGCATAAATGCTATCATCATCTCCATCATCATCATTAACAGCATAAGGTGCTTGATGCAGGCCTCGTGTCCTTTGTACGCGTCAGTTCCGCCACTTCTCGCTTCTACTGACTCATGCTAAATGGACATTGAAACAGTGTTTGGTCGGGATTCACGTCATACACTTTGATGTATTCGGTACATTGCAGAGTCAATACAGCCAAGATGACACCGGAAGCTCGCATACAAGTTGTCTTACGCGGGCACCTCAAGCTAAACCAAGCCTGATTCCACTCTCTTGCAGAACAATGCAAAACTGCACTCACGGAGAACAACACTTACGACGTGTGCGGTCGGATCTGTGGCCTACCCTGCGAGTGAGTCGAACACTTTGCCCCTTAAGAGGACACGTCTTTGTTCTTTACGGAACTAGTGCAGTGCACTTTTGTGAGGCACAACACTTTCCTCTTAAACGGTTGAGCGCCACGTAAATTTCAATGTTTGACAATGGCAAATGGCTATCACAACATGGGTCACAAGACACAGAAAACTTGTTTCATGTCGGAAAGATATCATGTGCTCTTTCCCACTTTCACGCAGAAGGAAATATATCGGCAAACCCAACCGATGTCTGAAAATTGATCGTGTATCGGCGTGCTTCTTTGCAAACGTCACATGATAGTCTTCTGTCTGGAGTTACACTCGATTGAATTGGGCTAAGTTGAAAAGCTCTGTCTGGAGGTACCACGTGATATACGGGCGCCATCTGGCAGAAATGTCGGGAAATGAATGCTTGTGTAGAACGCAGAGCCACTGGTAGGTGGCAGCACCGTGTCCTCTTAGCGAAGCGTAGGAAAGACCTACTTTTTCGTTCATAGCGCCGCATTGTCAGCGCAGCGGAAGAAACACAATGATCTGTAGAATTACGTGTCTTATCAGTTCTTATTAAAAAACACGCTACCTCATACTTACGTATTGATGACGCATCTCAGATATGAGCAATATTTGCTTTTTGACCGACAATGTTCACAAGTATGAATTCAGCCACCATATTAAGATGGCTGCAGGTGTTGAGTTGTGGATCAAGCTTTCTCCGAGTGGCTCAATCGTGCGACAGATAGGTAAGCAAATATATAGAAAGAAGAGCCGAAATTTCTGTGTCAAAGTATCCCAGAAAGACTAGCGTCTTTAATAACAGATTTCGTAGATATACATGAGCCAATAATCTCAATCAGCATTGCAGGATCTGTGCTTGTAAACTTTCATTTGATAACTGCATTGTCATCGTCACACTAATATTAGTAAGATTACCCTGGAGATTATTGAGGCAGTGGATATCGCGAAAGTGGGCGTTTTTTCCATCCGCACAGCGTCTGTGGACCAAACAGAAAAAGGGCGTACTCTTAAACAAAACTCAATGACTTGTCTCCGCACGCCTCAATGTGTACTATTTTAAGTGCTTTATTCAATATATTTCGTCTCCCAGTTATCACTGTATTTGATTTTGCTTTGTTGGCCCAGCCAGGAATCTCAGTACGTGTGCCCGAATGGTCTGCATTATAAAAATTGTCAGATCCCACGTTCAGTGCGAATCGATGATATGCGGAGCACGAATGAGGAAAGTTGGCAGGTCATCTTAAAATCAGCACAACGTTACGAGGCGGAGGTAAATTATGGCGTACATGCCTTCCATGTCATTATTACCATGTTTGGACGTTTCATTTACCTTCGTCATCTATTAACGTCACCTGATACCAACATTGGTATATATGGAGCTAGCGAAATGGCCGCGAGCGTGCTATGAGCGTAGCATGTAGTCATGTTTTACATGACATCCATATCATGATTATCATGTTTGGACATGTTATTTACATTCGTCGTCCATTCACGTCACGTAATAAATTTGGTATATGTGGAACTAGCGAAACGGCTGCGAGAACACTATGAGCGTAGCATGTAGTCATGTTTTACATGAAACGCATACTGTGATTATCAGGTTTGGACGTGTCATTTACCTTCGTCATCTATTCCCTTCCCTTGATACCAAATTTGCTACATGTGGAGCAAGTGAAACCATCGCGAGCGCATCATGAGTGTAGTCATGTTGTTACATGTCACACTTCTCATGATTATTTTGTTTGAACCATTCACATACTTTCGTCATCCATTCACGTCCCATAATACCCAGTTCGGTTATGCAAAGCTAGCGAAACATCATGAGTGTGGCATGTAGTCATGTTGTTACATGACACGCATGTCATGATTTTGATGTTGGAGTTGGTCGCTTGTGTTCTTGTGTTCGCGATGCAGTCATGTCATACCATACCAGTTTCGCAACATGTCATGTGAATGAAACCAGCGCAAGAGCAAGACCATGTCATGTAAATCATGATATTTATGACATACATGTCATGATTTTCATGTTATGACTGGTCAGTTATATTTGTCATACAGTCATGTTATGTCGTATCAAATTTCGTATCGATACCATTATTCAAACGGTGTGAAGAACTAAAAGTCGCAAGTGGCTAGATAGATAGATAGATAGATAGATAGATAGATAGATAGATATATAGATAGATAGATAGATAGATAGATAGATAGATAGATAGATAGATAGATAGATAGATAGATAGATAGATAGATAGATAGATACGCTCAAATTCGCCGATGTTCGCCAAGAAATGCTTCGCATTAAAAATTATTAGAAAAAGTGCATTGCCATGTCATCAATTTAGTCGTACATGTGTTTTTGTGCACTACAAGCTTCGCCCTGTAAGTCTATCTGTCTTTCTTGATTTTCAGACAAGTTCTCTATGACGTCCGTATATCTGCAATTTCCGATGAACAGGTACTGCATTTTTGATGTTCGAATTGGTTTCGGTCGACAGCAATGCATTTTAAAGGGCCACTCACCACCCGGCGTTTAATGACGAGGGGTGATTTTCTCCTCTTCTTCATTCACACGATGCATCCTCCTCGCTCCTTAGTTTTAGAATGCACGTGAACAATATCAGCAATAAGTGCTAGAGCTTATCAGGATTTGGCGCTTCTCGGCTGCACGCTGTTTTGAACACACTAAATGAAGTTTGACTGGTTGATTGTGCACGATATTCATGCGAGACAGAGAAGAACGGATGGGCGGCCGCATGGCAAAGCAGTGCAGGAGACAAATCACGTGTGATAATTCGGGTACATCAACGAATCAAGAGCATGTACACTGTAGACTGTCTACGTCACAGTAGTGCGCCAAGAAGGACGAAAAACATGAGGAAAGATTACTGTGCTCTTTTTTTGTATTTTGGGAGCCTGGTGAATGGCCCTCTAAACATTGTCTTTACTGCAGCAGTTCGTGACATGTAATACTCGTAATAATCAATCAATCAATAAATTATTTAACGTGCCCAGGAACAGCCACAAGGTCGCAGGGGCATGCAAAAATGAAACAAAAATAAGTAATACTTTACAGTCTCCAGAACAAAAAATAACATAAAAAGAGCAAGAACGCACAGACAAAAAGAAATCGGTGCAAAATGTATACACAACTATGCGGAAGGCTTCCTGAAAAACGGAAAAGAAGAGAATCTGTGCATTCTGAAAAAAAAAAAAAACGATTTTAAGGTAGTGCGGAGCTGAGATAAAACAGTGACAGTAGACTGCAAAAAAGATCAAGATCATGAAAGGTAACATTATATAGATTTTGTATGCTGTGAGCAGTAGTGTTGAAAGAATTTGGCAGGTACATGAAACAGTCGATTCACTCTGGTTATCTTACGTTGAATAATAATAATAATAATAATAATAATAATAATATAATAATAATAATAATAATAATAATAATAATAATAATAATAATAATAATAATAATAATATAATAATAATAATAATAATAATAATTTGGGTTTACATCCCAAAACTACGAGATGATCATGAGAGATGCCGTAGTACAGGGCTCCGGATATTTCGACCATGTGGTGTTCTTTAACATGGTTCTCAACAGATAGCCCAAGAAGATATGACAAAGCGCAGCTTTGAGTCAGGGTCGCATAAAATCAATAGAGTTACTGCTTCTTTCAAAGTGGTTTATATATTTTTGTGATAAAAAGCTGCTTGTTTTCGCGTGCGCGCCATTCATTCCAGAACTCTCTATATATTTTGTTTATCAGAAAATATGAAAATACAGCTTGCGCGATATTAGCCAGAATAAATGGGTGATTCCACGAGAGATCGACACGGGTCCAAAAGTTGATACTTTAGATTTCATTGAGTATTTTATATTTCGTGCACCTCTCACCAGGTAGCCCGAAATCTGCAAAAGATGCAGCCATTTTGAGCGCATCTCTTGTTTCACGCAGTCACCACCAAAATACCAGTGAGGGTACTTCAAGCGCATATGCTTTTTCTAGCGAGACCCAACGCTTGCGTTGGAACATTTTCATGTTTGAGTTTATCTGCAAATATAGACAGATGTTTTGCAACTGAGTTACAGTGTCGAAGATTTCCTCCATTAGAGCTGTGTTATCAGGAGCATAAATGCGCCTTCATAGGTGCGTATTTGTCACAGTGCTAAAACAGCCTTTCTTCACTAAATGCGGTCACGTTTACTCGCGTTTGAAGCTTATTGCCGCTTTCCGTTCCGATTTCTAGATTCCTCAACTTATCAGCGCATTCTTGAAAAGCTCTGATTTGTACCACGAATATTGTCGCTAAAAACAAAATAATGCAACATGTTTTTCTATATTACTGTATGATGGCCTTCGGTTGTCTATTTACGAGATGTTAAGAAAAATCGATGATGGTGTTTTTTTATTATTCAAATTTCAGTGGAGTAGACTTTTGCCAATATGAGAACTTTGGACCAATTTATAAAAACTTACATTTGCCCTACGGAAGCAATAATTTATGTACCTAATGAACACACTATATCCTTAAAACTTGTCAAGTTTGAAAACGCTGCTTGCATTACTTTCGGAGAAAAAAAAGGGGAATACGTAACTTATTTTAAACTGTCGCAAAATTTGACATTTTTAAAAGCTATTTTTTAAGGTCTACAAACTTGAAACCGTATGAATTCATTCTTAATTAGACATGCATTTCAGGTAAAAAATATCTTCCTTAAAACAAAAATATCTGCCTTTTTATAGCATCTGCAATTTTCGAAAATGACAGGTGACGAAATCGGTGCCTCCGTGTTGGTGAAGTTTGATATTTTTTTCTCGTTTAAGTTATGCCGTTAATCATAAAACGAAGTTGACGTTCGGGCTACCTGGTGAGAGGTGCACTAAATATAAAATACCCAATGAAATCTAAAATATCAACTTTTGGACCCGTGTCGACCCACATCTTATTAAATGTTAGCCTGCGTGCAGTACGCCGGGGAGGGCGCAGAGGTGCACTGTTACAACTGCAAGCAGGCTTTTAGTGGGAACAGCATCTCTGCGTCTTCCAAAGCGCGCTTAGAAGATAGTATCCAATAATTATCAACATCAGAAAGGATTGTAGTAGTTATCCAGTGAATAATATAACCATGGCCTTCGAATTCGCACACCAGGAATCTTGAAGGCTATGACATAACATTATACAGAAGAATTTTTTTGCCTATGTTAAATTCGTATTTCAATGAGGTTAGTGTATCAGCGACGCGAAAACTACCTGTTGAGCATGCCCAGAATTTTGCATCCTTTCACTGCAGTTCATCAAGGGAAGGTGGTGAACGCATACATTATATATATTGAGGGAAGGGAAGGGATGTTTCGGTCAATTACACATTAAAAATACGTACAAAGACTACTTGTATTTTTATTGTCTCATTATTATGGCAAAAAAAACTAATATAACGAGATCAAAGAGACTATCATGTCAATAAAGGTAGGGGACGTTACATGAGATCACAAGTTTGGTTCCTGCCCATGGCGAGATTTTTTCTTATCCACTTTTTCTTCTTCACATGTACCTTACAATTACTTCATGCAACATTCCTTACTTTCCTTGACATGATTGCCTGTGAGATCTGATTAATATATTGTCTAACAAGCAAAACGATCCCTTAAGTGTACACTACTTTTCTTCACTAAAAAGGAAAACTGAAATTCGTACTACAACTTGGAACGTTACAAAAGTACAGCGCCCACTTTATCATTATCTCAAGTGCGGTCTCTGTATCTGCATTTCTTGATGTCATTCTCCATTCCTCATACTTGCACAAGCTCATCGCAAAGTATATCAAAATTGTGGTAAATGTTGTCAAAAACCGTGCGTATTGAAACGCAGTGAAGAGCGCTACCCATGCATGAGCGTGTATTACTGAATTTTGCGTGATTAAATCGCTTCAAACAAACGACCAAGTAAACAAACATATTTATTTAGGTAATCGTGTTAAAATATTTTTTGTGCTTTTTATTTACAGGGCTCCACACGGGAAAGAATGTACGTATAAGAGGCTTCCCGTCAATCAGGGCTGCTTTCATTTCATTTTTTTTAGTTCTCTCTTTAAGACACACAACAGCCCTGGTGTCGTACATTTGACTGATAGGCTGTATTACATGAAGCGAACATTGATACCCACTCAAGTTTATGCTACATGCACTAGTGACACATGAAGACAGAGAATGGTGTAGGTTGCCTATCGATGTTGCATACTACCGTGGAAATCAGCGAGAACTCGAACGCAACCTTTTTGTGACAGGCTATTTTTTGTGCTGTAGAAAACACCAGAAAGTACTGTAAAAAGCACGACACCATAATAGCACTTTTTGGTGGGTTATTCTGATATGGTGTACATATAGGGCTAAAATATAAAAGCAACTATAAAGAAGAAATCAGGGCACATTCCTGTACGCGGTAGTATCGTATTATGAAAGACATACTGTTTGTTTTTGTATAGAATTAATATAGCCAAATGGGGTGAGGGGGTGCGGTATTTTCGAGAAAAAACAGCCTTTTTTGGTAAGATTTTAATATTCCACGTATTTCACAGAATTGAAGGGACCATGCATAAGTGTAGTGAAAAAACCTACCTGAACAAGCCCTTTCGGTAGAGATTCTCGCAAGAGGGCTGGAAAGGTTTCTAGCATAATTCCAGAGGAAAGTACGCAACCGTTTCAACGGCGATGTTCGTTATGATCGGTTAGTACTGTGAACTGGTAATGGTTTAAGCCGTCGATGCACAGCGGGTGAACGAAGGCATATCATAAAAGCCGAAGCTTTAATGGTATGGAGTGTACGCAGGTTAGTTTTGCACGTATCAGACGTTACAGGTAGCCTGTACCGCAGGAATCCATTAACATAAGAGTCGCACTCCCGAAGTTCTTCCAGCAATACTCCTGAACAAGTGACAAATGGCGGTCAGCCGCTTTTCACGTAGTTTACGTGTGGTCTCCAAGACAGGTCTCGGTCGATTATGACTCCCAAGAATCAGTGAATCCGGCTGGATGACATCTATTGCCCGTTAATTGATATCGCATAAGGGGACGTTGGCTTTCTGTAAAATGTCATGACTTGCAATTCGGAGTCCCTGTTTACGACATTTAGTGCAATTGTCTGTCCGCATCGTCCATCGTTTACGCCAGGCTGTACGCCTGCGGAGAAGCTGGTGTATCTTTTCTGGTGTCTTACCCTTCAACAGGTATACGTCTTACAATTCCAGGGCTGCATAAAAAAAGAAATTCGCCTTCTCCAACACCAAAACAATTGGGCCTTCTCCACTTGCACAAAATTTACGGTAACCACGTGCCCATCTACGCCGATGGCTCGACCACTGTGCCTATATTTCTGACGATGCAGTGGTGATACCAGCTCGAGGAATAACCCGGCGAGTCAATCTTTCACATGTCCCTACGTCTCTACGTGACAGAACTTGCAGCTCCTTGCGGTGTCCTAGTGTGCGTCGTATCCCAAACACCGAGCAGATGGGCTGTGTTTTCCAACTCGAAACCGGCCTCACAATGCATGCACTCAGTTATCCGACAAGGTTTCCACGAACAGCTCACGTACAAGATTGTCAAGCTATCTTTATGTGTATATGATTGCCTCTTAGATCTCATGAAATCATATACAACTCTAGTTGAAGTCACCGACAGTGCGGCATTTGAAGCCTCCGGCACCGATGAAGACATCGATCATTTGCCATGCCGTTGCCCTCGATTAGCCTCTGAGAGACGAAAACGTTTTGACGCTTTGGACACTTGGACAATTGGCCACTCTCTGTGCAGATGCTGCTGGAGCACCATCCCCCTTTTTAGTTGGCTCACAAGGCAGTCAAGCCCCCTTGTGCTTTCTCAGGACTACGAGAATATGTGAACTCTTTGGCGACATCCGGGTAGCAAACCGGATGTGTGTCTGGTTAACCTCCATGCCTTCCCTTGCATCTTTATCTCTCTCTCTCTCTCTCACTCTTTGATGACGCCGAAGTGTTTCTCTGCCGAACGCTGTTCATTTCGTTTGGTGTTTTATTTGTGAATTTATGCATTTTCCGAGGATAATCACTCTCCTGCGGACAGCGATGGATCCACACCCCACAGTACACAGTCCGGACTTGGCGTCAGCTTCGACGTCAACTTCAAGGAAGCGCAAAAGTCGAGAGAACGACAGCACCAGTGACATTACTGAAGCGTACACGGTCAGTAGCGAAGACAGCGACGATGATTTCATCCCTGCAGGGATGCGTAAAGCTAAAAGGAGAATGGTCGGCGTGTCTGCGCCAGCTAACGTCTCTACCATGAAGGTTTTGTGCAGTTATAAACGCTATATCATGCTTTTTGTTCCTGTTGACTCTTCGATCAACCTGAAGAACATCAACAGGCATGTGATATCGGCGTGTCTCGAAGCATTCGTGCCTAATGATATAAAGGATATTAGACTCAACCTACGGAAGAATACCTTGGCCATAGACGTTGAGCACCCGGCTGTGCTACCTACCTTGCGAACTGTAACGGAGCTTAGAGGCATCAATCTCCGTGCTTACATTCGGCAGGATAGTGACACGACGACGAGTGCCATTTATGACGTTGCTGTTTCCATACCGAACGCAGACCTTCCTGTGCTGATAAAGCCAGCTACTGAGGACACCGACATATTACAAGTATGCCAGCTTGGCAAATTCCGTTGCCTCAAGGTTACCTTCAGACGTGATGGCATCCCATCACAAGTAAAGGTTGGTCACTTTCGTCACGTTGTACGACCATACATCCCAAGGCAACTACAGTGCCACAACTGTCTAAAACTGTGTCATGTTAGTGCTGTGTGTAACAACAAGCAAGCAAGCAAGCATGCCCGCGTTACGCCGGACCCCACAAAGCAGATGCTTGCCAAGCAACTCTTCTAGAATGAAGCAACTGCAACGGAAACCATGAGGTCTCATCCAAAAACGGCCCAGTACTCAAGGAGGAGAGGAGTAGTGTGAGACAAATAGTGAAAGACGGATCCTCACGAAACGAAACGGTAACGGTTGTTCAACGACGGCGTTCCCGTCGATGGCGGTGCTCGATGAAAAGAAAAAGCAGTCCTGTGCCGAATTTACATTCACTTATCCCACCACCACCACCACAACCACTGCCATGACACACAGCGATCTCCCCTGCTCCCGCCACCAGGTGGGGTACGTTCAGAGGTGCCGAGAAGCACTGTGGCCCAAAAGAAAACGTCTGACTCTGACTGGCCCACTTTCCCGAGGGTACACGTGTCTACGGAACCACAGAATCAACAGTCAACAACGGCTACGCCCCCAGAAGGTAGTCTATCCACCCAAGAGGTACAAGTTATTTTCTGTATTGAGCTCGTTCATGAGTGTTATCCGCACTCTCAGGTCTAGTCTACAGATCCCTGCCACTAAATGTGCACTGCAAGTCTTGGATGCACTAGAACCAATACTTGGCGGCCTTCAGTAAAAAGATGGTGCACCATAGTCCACATCAGCTTTTCTGAGAAAAAGTCAAGCGTGCTTCCATAATTCGGTGGAACGCAAGAGGTCTACAGTCAAGAATGCCTGAGTTTAGACAGTTTATTTCGAGAATAAGTTTCCCATCATCGTCATTTGTGAACCGCATTTTTCAAAAATACATCGACTGTCGGGCTATGAATCATTCGTTTCTTCATCGTGCACTGAGCGAAGTGAAGTTGATGTGTACCTCCGTAAAGAACTCGCTTATGTTCGCGAAAAGTAGTCTCACAATAAAAATAACTATGTGTGTCTATATGTTAAAAAGAAGAAGTTGTTGTTTACGCTGATGGGCGCATATATAGCGCCGTCACGTCGACTTGATCAACAGGTATTAAATGATATATTTGCAACGACTCCAGCACCTCGGATATTGATGGGTGACTTCAACGTCAATCATCCACTGTGGGGAAGCATCAAGACAAATCGAAAAGGCACGAATCTGGGTGATCTCGCATCAGAGCACGGGCTGCAGGTGCTGAACGACAGCAGCCCTACTTATCTCCGAGGAGTAACTTATAGCAGTAGCCTGGACTTGAAATTAGCGTCGCGTAGTACTGTCACGAAAGTTCAATGGTTTAGAGATGTTCAAACCCATGGCAGTGACCACATCCCCACCAATGGTTTAGAGATGTTCAAACCCATGGCAGTGACCACATCCCCACGTATGTGACAGTCAGAGGTCTGGACGATTATCCTTCCCCAGGACACTCAAGACTTATTGACTGGGAACAGTATCAGATATCAGTGGAGAGCAGGTGCATGCACGAACCGCCGGAATCCACTGAAGAAGTGATTTGTTGTGCGATGGAGACTTCCACCAAAACATGTTCAAAAGAATCGAGACGTACCACACTCGAGAAAGAGTTGGAGCAACTTCGAGCTGTCCGCCGGCGTGCGGAAAGAAGATACCGACGCACGCAGTCTATCTATGATCTCAGATAATCCAGACGATTTCAGATGAACATCCAGTGTTGAATGTACAAACTCCAGAAACAACAATGGAAGAGTTTTTGTGACTCGCTAGACCCTCGAAAGCCTTAGTCTCCCGTATGGAGGACTCTTCGAGGTATTCACTCGCATCCGCAACAGCGTCATCCCTTCGCGTCTCCGGCGCTACATCAACTTCGCTCATAGCTTGACGTTTCTGGCGATTTTTGTGCAAGGATCATCGGTGACATCTCTATACCAATCGATATATTGTAACGATGTTGAAGGACTCGGGGTGTAATAAAACGTATTTATTAAAGGGCGAACCTGTGCCCACAACTCAAAGGGACTATGGTCGTAGCACGTTACAGCAGAACACCAAAGATGTCTCCTTCTTCTACTTCTTCAAGAAGAGTCCCAAGCGCGTGGCACACATCAGCCGGGCCAGCTGGGTTCTCATGCTATGATCATCGTCTCTGCGCAACACTAGACGGTGCGCATGTATGTCCCTGTGCGCGCGGTAATGAGCGCGCTGTTTGAATGCAGGGACTATGTCGCGGCAATATTACCACAGGACTTTCCAGTCACACGAGATCAGTAAATGGAGGTTGCATTCACTATGGAAGAACTTCATGTAGCTATAAACACTTGCAGGCCCTCATCGTCCCCAGGTCCGGATGGAGTGACCTATGCTGCCCTACGTCACCTAGGCCCGAAGGCACAACGCTGTCTCCTGGACATTTTCAATAAGTATTGGCGCGATAGAACAGTGCCTTATGAGTGGAAGTGCGGTCGCCTGGTGCCTTTGTTGAAGCCCAGAAAGTCTCCATTGGATCTGGCATCATACCGGCCTATAGCACTATCAAGCTGCATCGGCAAGGTCATGGAGAGGATGCTGCTTACACGCATGGAATGGTACGTGGAACATTATAACATCTATCCTGAAGCTGTGGCTGGCTTTCGACAAGGTCGGTCTTCAATCGATAGTGTCATTGACTTAGTGACCTCTATTTCGCAACATAAAGCTAGGAAGCGGCTGTCGGTAGCTCTGTTCTTAGACGAGAAAGGTGCCTATAACAACGTGACCCATGAGGCTGTTATCAAGTGCTCTCGAAGCAGCGGAACTTGGAGGTCGTGTCTTTCGATGCGTAAGAAGCTACCTCACAAAGAGATCCATGTTCGTTCTATCTGAAGATGGCTCTACGAATAAGCCTTTCACAAGTCATGGGGTGCCACAAGGCGGCGTTTTGAGTCCGACTCTTTTCAACCTGGTTTTGGTGGGGCTCACCAAAATGCTGCCACAGACGGCTTATATGTCTCTCTACGCTGATGATATCTGCATTTGGGCTTCTGGCGTGACACGGCCTCAAGTGCGCGCAAAGATACAGAAGGCGGCAACAATGACATCGGCATAACTTCGCCAGCATGGTTTGACTATCGCCTCAGAAAAATGCACAGCAGTAGCGTTTACACGTAAACCGATGTCTTTTTACCCATTGTGCATCGATGGCAGATCTATCACGCATAAGAGCAGTCATAGATTCGTAGGTGTCATCGTAGATTATGACCTAGCCTAGAGCCCACATGCTGCATACCTGTAGAAAAAGCTCATTGGCAGTGAGAATTTATGGAAGTTCGTTGTCGGAAAATCACGGCGCCCATTCACGCACTCCATACTGCAGCTTTATACAGCCCTCTTTCTCCAACTTCTCCGGTACAGCCGTTTAGACCTGTCCAACACGTGCAAGACTAACATACGTGCAACACAGAGCGTACAATCCCAAGCACTTCGGACACGTCTTGGCCTTCCAAAATGCTCATCAAACGTGGCAACTATTGTTATCGCACAAGAACAGCCAGTCGCAACGCTGAGAGCGCACATTCAGCATTTATCACAGCTTCCGTCACATCATTTAGCGTGTTTGACAGCGTGAAGGCCCCATTCTTCGTTCTGTGGTATTGTGACGAAACATCAGGACACATTACCGCCTCGCTTCACACTTTCGATGCGTCCAGCAGCTGTGTTATGGACTCTTTGTCAACTTGACATGCACTTATAGGTTCCTAGAATCGTTAAGAAGGCCTGTATGTCATCGCTAGCTCTGAAGCAATTGACTTTGCGTCTGTTGGACGAAAGGTACTTTGACCGCATACATGTTAGCACTGATGGCTCCACTAATTCCAACAGCTCTACAGGAGCTGTTGTTGTCCCATCTGGTAGTGTGTTGCTTCAATACAATTTTTCTCGCACCACGACGTCGAGAGCAGCAGAACTCGCAGCGCTTGAAGGTACAGTAAAGTACATTCTTCGGCAGCAACCTAATCAATGGGCAATCTTTTGCGATTCGAGGTCCATCTTACAGATACTACTATTCGTTATGCAGCATGGGTTACACGAACAATCAGTATATCAGATACGGCACGACTACCACGAAGCGCTCTTCGAAGGTCACGATATTGTATTTTAATCGTTGCCGAGTCATCGCCGAATTGTCGGCAATGACCGCGCGGATCAAGCTGCTCGATCGGCTCATGACCAATACCTGCGTACGCCCGTACCAGTCTTGAGAACAGACGCTGCAAGGCGACTACATTCACTTGCTCGCCGTATGACTGTCCTACAATGGAATACGCTGGGTATTCTATCGACCCAAACTTGCAACTTCCTTTGCCGTCCGGGCTCCCACGATGCGCTGAAACGTTGCTGTGTCGCACGAGGTTGGGTGTGGCATTTACGAATGCGTATTCTCATCCCCTTAGGATGGCGTGCAGTTTGGTATGCAACTTCTCCGCCTGCGAGGAGACGCTTGAGCACATTTAATGCCACTTCCCAGCATACAAGTCTGATCGACGTATTATAGAAGCCGAGCTCTGTCAGCTGGATTCACGGCAGCTGACAGAAAAGAAGATCCTGGGACCTTGGCCGACGGTTTCGCATATGCGCAAAGACACGAAAGCAAAGTTCACGAGCGCTTGTGAAAGAACAGTGTGAGACCGTGCTGCGTAGTCTTGAGCTGAATATTCATCCTTCTCTTTCTTACTCCTGTTATGTCCTATCTCTTTCTTCCTCCTTTCCCCCACCCCAAGTGTAGGGTAGCCAACCGAGCCAAGCTTGGTTAACCTCCCTGCCTTTCCTATCTATCTTTCTTTATGTCCTTTGACTTTTGTATAGTGCCACCACTGCATACGCGTCAGCCAACGGACTGTCAATTTCTCGTCTCTTTCTCTTCGCTCTTTCATCTTTATACACCCTTTTCCATTTCCCCAGCGCTAACCTAACCTCCATACTTTCTCTCTTGTTTTTCCTCCTCCTCCTCCTCCCACCTGAACAAGTGGTTTTCTTTACTTCTTCGTTTTTTATTTCTGTAGATGAAAATTATGTTTGACATTTGTCAGGACACAGTTGATAAAACTTCATTTATTGAAGGAAACGTTACATTTGAAAAAAAAGTTTTCTAAATGCGAAAAATGCTAATGCGGTAATTTTATTCTTCTTAGCATCTTCATCTGAAGGCTTCTGGGTCTAAAGTGACATGTGTTACCCAATTTGCGCAAAATGAATTCATTCTTGTTCCACCACCTAAATAATGTGTTATGTGTTACATGTAAGCATTTGCATTGCACACAAAGGTGAAGCGATGTTGTAAATGGGATTCTTTTGTTTCACCCTTCAATGATCTCGCTAGAAAGTCATGTACTTCGCGCTATTTTTATTTCTCTACCTTTACCCGATCTTCGACTGTAGGGAGAAGTTCACTCTGAAGCTTCGCTTCCGCTCAGACATCGAAGAGCTTGTGCTGTACCAGCCTACGCTAACAGTTAAGTGAAATATTCAGGTTTGCTAGAGTGCATGTGTGGTTAATGAAGATGTTGCTACTGCTGTTTTTACCAACCAATAACAAGAGCCTAACATGTAACATCGCATATACAAGATGTGCACAAATTCATAACTGATATATATGACATAGCGTCTGTCGCAATGACATCGTGACGATGTATCATGTCTCGGAGCATTACCCGTATTTACTTCAAACGACGCACATTACTGCTTTGAAACGAATCATCTGAGACCGGGCTACAAAACAAAGGCCGCCCAGAAAGTATCATACTAATAGACGACTTCAGACCTGTTCTCTACGTTGTGGCCTCTAAACAAGTCTAATGGCGCTTTATTGTAGACTACAGAGCGTTGAATAGAACGTACCGTTCAGGATGGCAGGTTATGCCGTTTAGTGAGCTTATTCACAGGCGGATGGCATTTTTGGTTGGTCGCTGCAGCAGACAAACAACTCAAACTTAAACAAGCGGTGGCGAAGTCCTTGTTTTAAGGACGAAGCTCCTTACGCCATGGGTCGTATGTCCCGGTGTCGTCGTCGTAGTAGTAAGCAGTTTGCAAAGTTTGCAACCAGTTTGCAACCACTTGAGAGGGGCGAAGCGTCCATCCGTCTCTGCGCCCGTCTGTCTGTCCGCCATCCGTCCATGCGTCCATTCGTCCGCCCGTACGTCCATCCGTGATTGATGACCGACTAGGGTGATTAACCTCCCTGCGGAGAGCTTCACCCCACTCGTCATCATTCACCTCGGTCCTCATGGATAGGCTGTATTTTTTTATTTCGCGAATAGACGCCTCGAAAGTGCCGAGTGGCCACGGTAACAGGATAAGACCAGCAGAGCGCACGCCGACATCTACTCGCAGAAATAGAGCGAGCTCGCAACTAGAAGTTGCTATTGGGAGTGACGCAACTTGTTCTGAAATACTCGACCGAACGCAAACTGGACAGCGCCTCAAAAGTAAAAGAATGGCTGTGCGAGTGTGACTAGAGACCACAAATAAGAAAAAATCCCCGAGTCGGCCATCCACAAATAAGTTTGTCTTCGACGGGAAATAAACATACGTTGTTCATATGGACCACCGCAAACATTTTCTGCCTCATCTCAACGCTTTATCTCGAATAAAAGTTTACATTTTACTTACGTTGCAAAAAAATTTGGTCAGCTTGATTCTTGTTTTGCGTACTGCTACGTCAGCATATGTCTACACAGCAAAGTGTCGCGTTTCCTTATCGAAGATTTTTTTCGTGCATAATAAAATATCGGACGATATTTACACGTCTTCAGACATTTCAGAAATATGTTTGGCTTCTCAGCAGCTATTCTATAGACTTGGCGCACCACTGGATGTGTTGCGAATTGTTTGTGTTGGTGGTGTTACAAAGGCACGTAGTCATACTATTTGCCGGTGCAAATTTCCCACAAGCGCTGCACGTACGCCTTTTAGTCAGTGACATTTATCTTTCATTCGAAAAAATGGCTGAATACGAATGATGCGACACTTCAATATTCGTACCCATGTCGATGGCCATGGTTCGGCCCTAAAATATGCAAACCGGGTTCAAACTGGTTAACCACCCCTCCTTTCCTTTGCTTTTCTATCTCTATCTTTAGAAAGACCTTGTCCTATAGCTCTTGCTGCCCAGCCTCGTTTTGTTGAATTATATTAAAGATTCTCTTCAAGTAAACTAACTATAAGGAACTATAGCTAACTCAATAACACCTTCTCTCTCTCTCTTTTATTCTTTTTTTACCTCGTCGCGTAGCGGATCGAGCTGCTTGCGTACGCGGGCGGGTACATGGGCATTTGGCTCGGAATGTCTGCGCTCGGCTTTCTCTTGAATCTGCATGGCAGAGCGTATTTACACAAGTACGTACACACCCGTGATACCATATCTTCCTTTCCTTATCACTGCATGCTATGAATATGTGTTAATAGCAGTGTTTTAAGTGCGAGCGATTCAATGCAACGTCGACACTCTCCACTAAAATTTCAATAGGCTCACCAACCGTAACTGATACGCAGGTAAAGGTTTCACCATAGGCGGGCGAACGGGGGAACGCAAACTCTGGCCCCCACATTGGCATAAGGGGAGAGTGCTGCTACTCAGGGGGAGGGTGCCGAAAATGAACTCCATACATTTACATAATAGGAAAAGGGCGCACTGGGACAATAATATGGCAATAATGTATTACCGTAATTGCGTTAGTGAACAGTACACAATTATTTATTAAATACAAAGCAAACAAGATCCTTCCCGTTTCGTTCTTCTTATTGTTTATCTTACAGAAAAGAAATCCAGAAGATTGTTAATGCCTTCTTTACAAGAGGCGAACAAAATCTAAGGTAAGAAGGTCTCATACCATCTTGTCTAATGTGTGATTATAAACGTTGCCGAATTTACATCTTAGTACGAAATATTTGTGGTAAGAAATAAATGTTCACACTTCAAGTCACCACGTGTACGTAAGGGATTGCCAGTGAGAACTACTTAACGTAAGTCTTTTTTAAAGCTTGCCTAGATGTTTCCTTGTAGTCTCCAGATTATTGTTGATTGTCAGGACTGATTCTTATTGATGGATTTTGGTGATTGATTGATCCGTTAGACCTGAAGTCTGGAAAGAGAGCCGTAGATATAGGAATAACTCACAACGTAGGGTTGCGAACTAATCTGACAATGCGGAATTTTTTAACGTATACGTCTGATTCTAACTAAATAAACGCTATGTCTGTTTTGCTTCGATCAAATCAAAATGCTCTCGTCACGACAGTGATCAAATCAACGACAACCTGCAGCATACAGAATGAAATAGTCAAAACTCAGCCACCCGGTTAAAAAACCTGGCTTCGGTGACGGATAAGAGATAACATTTTCACGTGAGCGCCCAACCAATGTTTTCAAGGTCACAAGCGTTGTACCGCAGAAAACTTCCCGTCACTCCATATACCAGTTCCTAACGTCGAAAATGAAAGCGCGTTTTCAAGTTTTTTTTTAAATGTAAGAAATGTTTCATTTTAGATTTTCAGATAAAGGAAACGTGCGTAAAGTTTATAGGAATCTCTTACAGTGTTTATGTAGGTGAAAATAAAATATACTTGAATATATTTTGCCAAATAAGGGAAAGAGAGTAAAAAATTAGCGGGCTATTTTCTAAAGCTCTTCTTGCCCACGGATGCTGTTTTGGCACATGGTGGACGGAACGGGATGTCATTAGGAGCCACAGTTAAATGGTCTATAATGTCGCCTACAAGAAATGCGTGACGTCACATACTTCCAAGGTGTGTTAGGGCTCCTTAAGACATCGCCTTGTCCCGCGTTCGGTGGCGTGCACGATCATAGCACCCATGCAAAAACATCTGTGAAAGCACCTGTGGCGGTTAATGGAAGTTTGGAAGAACAAAATAAAAAGGTCAAACTAAATAAAATGCCACAAAGCTGTAATAACACTGACATTTATCTAGCCATCAGTCAAAGCATATGACAGAGTAGAACGTTAACAAGCGCGAAATAAAAGGCTCCAAATCAGGACAATATAGAAGGTCACAACACTATGTAAGCGGCAAAAACAGCCACACCAATGACATATGAACAAACCAAATCATTTTCAAACAATAACAAACAAAATAAAAAGTCACAACACCATGAGAACACAACATTTAGCCACACATCAATGAACTGAGATACCAGAACAACAGGTTAACAAACAAAACGAAAGATTGTTAGCCAGAACAAAATATAAAGCCATGAATCATGATCCAATGTAGATTGCTTCGCCCCATCATCAGCCCTCACTTCAGGAATATGCGTGCATTTTCTTTTTTGCAATCACAAGTAAAGTATTTGAGACCAATATTTATATTTCCAGAAAGTTTGAATAAAATTTTAAGTTTGAGTTTGATCTAACTTCATTATTTTCCTTTTTGCAGACTGAGAAAAAAACCAAGATGGACTGATCCTGTGATTCGTATCCGTTAAGCAATACTCAGCAGAGGCACGTGCTTCGAAAACACACAAAAAAACGCACACGCACAAATAATGGGCAACGTGAATTAAACTCAAATACAGAGACCTCAGTCACAGTGGGCATAAAAATGTTGTGAAACGAATAAAATATAAAATATTTATTGCTTGAAAACCAGCATTATACAAATTACGTGTAAAGCTGTACGACGGAGGGTGGGGACCTGTTTTCATGCACTTAGTATCTTTTTGTATGCATATTAATTTCCATGTATAGATTCAAAGTGAAGTTGATACGCATTGTGAATAGCAAGGGAGTAATGCGACAGTCATTGTGTAAAAGGGTGAATTCAGTGACACCAATATATGCTCGTAATGCGTGCTATATATACTTGATCAGACAAATGATAGATCATTTGAACAACGGCGTTACTTTAGATCAAGGCTACGAAGAACTTCTGCACGCTTTTCCCAACCAGGTGGAGCAATAATTAATTGAAGTTAGACAACGGCGCTTAAAGTCGATGAAGTTTCGACAACAGTGGTAAAGTGATTTCATTTTCTTTGTACATGGTCGTGGCAACTGCAATGTTTACCGAAGTTGTATTCGTCTACGATTAGTACTCGTCCGGGTAGGGCACTCTTACATGTGCAGTAGCTGAGTCTAATCGATGAAAAAGCGCCCGTGGGACTAATGGTCGCTTCTTCGCCAAAAATATTTCGAATTTATAACATCGATAATTGTTACGTCTTAGCCCGTCTAGCTATCGACCGGCAGTTATTTTCGAGTTTATAAGAGTAAATGCGAATTGTATTACGGACATGCTTGATCAGTTAATCCCAACTATTCTCACCTAAAACCCCCCACAAAGACACACACAAAAAAATCGTTGTTCGAACAATGAACTTTCGGTGCAAATGCTGCTCACTACCATTATCACTTTTTCATCCAATTTTCTTCGTGATTTTGTAGTTGTCTTAGTTGTGATGTTGCTGTTTCTGTTTACACCAGCGGCGAGAAGCTGACCGCACTACTTGGCAAACTAACAGTACCGATAATATTTTTACAGTGAAAGCGGTTATCGGGCCAAAACACGGGTCACGTGTGGCACCGTTGCAGTAAATAAGAAACACCACTGACACAATGAGATTCGAACCGGGGTTCACTGTGCGCCAGCGCAGTATTCAACCACTGAGCCACGCCAGTGTTTCGAACTTGTTTCTAAACTGACCTTAGGCAGGCTTGATGTCCGGAAAGGAATCGCGTTAATATGAGTAATAAACGCTTTAGAACATCGAAGGAACAACTGCAGGCGTCACACGATGCGAATTGCATAACGAATGAGTTGTCCACAATGCTCAAACCCATTAGAAAACTTGATCTTAATTATTTTTTTAACTGTGGCACATTCCCACATAAGGCACATTTCTTCACCGTATTCAGCCACTGCATAAAAAATTGCCCGAAATTCCTATTCCCAACAAGCGTGTGGTGGATACCACGTTTCTACAAAGAAAGACGAAGGATAGCATAGGTAATGTGGGCCTACTACACAAAAATTATGATTATTTATAGCGTAGTGAGTACCCAGCAGTGTGCTTGTTTATGGCAGTTACTCAAAGAGTGTTTAGAAAGGCTCTGACAGGCCGCTTTTATAGGTTTCGCTGTGACTGTGCTGCGCGTTCTGCGTAGGCTTGGCGTTTTTTTAATTCAAGACGTTCCTGAATACTGTCTTCTCATCGACGTTTCATTACTTTTCAATCTTTAAAATGACCACTGAAAGATGATTTAGCTGTATCTGTCATCCAAACAACTATAAAAAAGGTGATAAGATAGTATATATGTTCATACAACACTTAGTTTAGATCGTTTACGCCTGCAAAAAATTATGGATAGCAAATATACGTAATGGCTAGGAAGATGTTAACCAATAAATTATTGCTACAAATGGCACGACATCACCGAAAATCACATCGCTTGTGAGCGATTTCTCAGTTAAAAGTCTTGCGTTGCAATACTTGTTGTTCCCATGATAATGCAGATGCACTGTGACATGTCGCAGCTGTTTAAACTACAGTGCTCAGCAGATGGCAATTACTGGATCAATCTAACGGCCTTTGGTGTTGAGCCTGCGATTAGAAAAAAACTAATTAGAAGGCTATGTCTATTGTTAAGCACTAAGGAAAAATGCTAAAGAAGAAGCTGTGATAAGCATAAGCAGATGCTTACTGGAACTGTGGAAGGATTTTTCTCTCCCAATGTCACATTAAGGATATAAGCTATACCAGACGCTCAAACTTTATTGTCGTTATTAATATCCTTCGGATAGAAAAGTGGTTAATGACACTGGCAAAATATGGCTTATGATCGTCAATTTATATGCGAACAGAAATCAAAGAGCCTTTCCCACAAAAAATTACGTTGCGTTGCGAAGAATAAATTTCGATACTAAGCCATGAGTTATCAGTCCCCAAACTTCACTACACACAGTACGAAAATAGTTGCAGAATGGCAAGATAAAAATACACATGCAATTAATAGCTTTCGTCTATTATTCTTTGCCTCAAGAACCTTCTCTCAAGCACCACACATTACTCACCACGTCATGCTTTTTATACTTGCTAGGTCGGTGTTTACACAATTTTTCTGTGCTAAGCCTGTGAAAGAGAAAATAATTTAGGCAAGAAACCGTTAACTACGTAAACACCGCACCAGACAACATTGCGCAGAAAAATGGCGTGCTTGCCATAAGGTGCCATGGACATATGTCAAAAGAGCCGTAATGAAATGGAAAGACACGACAGTAACTACACTGCCGTAAGATGCACGTAAGCTTATGAGTTCACATTATGAATTCGCGATGGCGCCGTTGGTTGGGGACTCTAGAACTTGCTGTTGGGCTAGTTGGTGCACGTCTTGATTAAATAGTCAACGTCGCGCCTAATGAACAACCACACAGAGAAAGAAACCCACTATTGGCGACTCCACTTATGCGATAGCATATTCATCACCTGGCCGTTGTTACGACCGGCCCTGGGGAGCCAAGCAGGGAGAGTTTGGGGGAGAACCGGTTCTTGACCTGACGGTGTCGTCCACCCCCACCTCCCCATTCGGGTTCCTCCTCGCCGGGAGAGCTACGGGGTCTGCTGTGCGTTCGTGACCATATTTGGTAACATTTTGGGGCGCCGGGACCATATATGGTGTTGGGTTGTGCCACTCCTTGTGTTGTGAGAGGTGTTTTCCCCTCCCTCGTGGCCGAGGTGCCGGCGACACCGTATTGGCTGACGATGCGGACAAGGCGCCCAGTGTCAACAACATGGCGCTATAAAATGCCGAAGACGTTTTGTATCGCACGCACTCTTCTCTCTTTGGGTCAGTTGACCACTTCTCCACATGTAAATAAATCTCTGTTGTTCGTTCGGGCGCTTCTTCTCGCTGAATTGTTGGACGATGGATCCTGCGACGGGGCCAGCTACCGAAAACGAGACCGGCAGGACCCGGAGTCCCAACACCGTCTAGTGCGGACATACAGGTTTCACAAGTGCAATTTAATAATGATAATAATAGAATAATGTTACCAAGTGTTTTACGTCCCAAAACCACAACATCAAAGACGTCATATGTAGTGAAGGATGTGCTGACATCACACAGCCCATGGGCCTCCATACCATTTCGATTTAATCGAAATGCGACTGCCACGGCCGAGATTCATCTCGCGACCTTTGGTTCAGCAGCCGAGAACCCTAACGACTTCTCTACTGGGGCCGACTAGGGCAATTTAAACCAATTTAATTTTATAGTCCCGTTGTTTTTGCCGAAGGAAACGAGTAACTTGCTATTAGCATTGTCATTTTCACTGACATGTAACTTTTCTCTGTAAAACATGTAACCTGAAAAAAAAAATCATGAGGGTTGGGAACACTGCGTGTAATAGGAACTTTGATAACTACTCACAAACAAGCGGTTCCTTTTAATGTCTCTCTTTTTTTCTTCCCTGGTTTCATTTATGTCTGCACTTCTGCTGTTACAAGTGAGCTTCGCAAAGCTTGGTATCTGCTCAGGTGTCGCAGTTCCTGTTAAGTACGGCTTGCATAACCTAACTCGGGTATATGAGTAGTTTATTGAGATACGCTAGCTGCAAGTCGTCACAGTAAATATGGCGTTTTGGTTGATAGGTCCTTGCGAAGACATCTTCAAAAAAATGTCCAAAATGCTGTTTGGGCTAGGTTTTGCTGGGTCTGATGTTTTGTTGACTAGGTTTTCATGCATGCTCACACACAAAGAAAGGGTTATTTAATAAGTGTTGAGGTTTAGCGTCCCGAAACTCCCATATGATTTCGAGAGACGCCGTAGAGGGGAACTCCGGGAATTTCGACAATCAGGGGCCCTTTAACATGCACCTAAATATAGGCACGCGGACCTCAAGCATTTTTGCTTCCATCGAGAATGCGGCGACCACGACCGGGATTGGATCCCACAACCTGCGGGTCAGCAGCCGAGTGCCTCAACCACTCGGCCACCGTGGCGGGACACAAAGAAAGAGTTCTGTGCCAGCACAAGCGTGAGGCATCACCGTCATTTGTCAGATCTAGATGCCATGTTGTTGGTGTATGCATATAAATAAACAATTTCTCGGTTCTAATGTGTCAAAGGTCTGTAAAAACGATGATCGTCTTACCAGCCATCGGCACACACTGTAACCGCGGGAAAAACCATGCAATCGCTCCGCCGTCTCTCATCCATGGTGACGCTGAAAGAGAACTGCAGGTACACCCCCCAACACGCTGTAACACTGGTACAGAAAGCACGCTGAGCACACCGCATCGACGAACGCGTGCAGCTTGTTCATCGTTGGCCGCTCGCTCGGCAGCAAGACCTCTCCTTTGCCGATTCTCCTTTGCCGGGACAGCCGATTCATTTGTCAAACGGCTGGCCAGTTTCCACTAATATTTGCAATCGCAAATCGCAAAAAGTGCCGTAGAGCCGTGCGGCTTCTGACTTGCATCGCAGAGGGGTCCACTATTTTCGTCGCGTTACAATGTGCACTTCAGATTTTCTTAGACTTTCGACACTACACCAACGCAACGTTATTAGTAGCTGGTAACGTTGACACCAACGTTCTCCTCCTCAAACTGCCTCCGACTGATGCAAGGACGCCGTTGCCGCATTTATGAGCATTACGTCTTTCACCACTGCAAGAAAGCTCATGTAAAAACCGAAACACAGACATTTTAATGGGAAGTTTATTGTGATTATTCAAGAAAACTGTATAGTCAAATTGATTCATCAGGACGAACTCTGTGGTGTATTCATAAGTTTAGTGTGTTGTCTCCGAGAGCTAGTTAAGTGTTATTCATGGCGCTGTCTTCAACAGCAGGGTCTTTAAGTTGAAGTATAGTTAAAGTGGCTCGTATTTCACCCGAAACAACTTGTTGCCGATGTTCGCTGTGGTAGTACAAGACATTGCAAGTCGTCATCGATCATGTTAGGCTGCTCGTGGCTGAACGGAATCTTCATCAAAATAGATCAATTCGCGAGATATTGGTTAAAGACGTTTGTCCTTTGTACTTGACTGGGCCACCTGCGTGTCAGTGTATCTGTATGAGAAGAAAATTAAGAAGTTTTAAAACTCGCGTGACCTACATGCTAGTTCAAGTAAAATAAAATTAAGCATATAAAACAGCACTACAGTAAATACGAACAAGGAAAAAACAGATGCCGATTGACAACAAAGCTTTTATCGTGCGTCCACTAATAGGGGATTATTACGCGTTGTTAAGTGCGGCATCGGTCGGGAGCGTGGCCGAGTACGTTGGTTTATGTAACCCACCAGCCTCTTCGGTGGCGTGGGTTTGTATTCCATCGTGGCCTGAAGCTTTTTTTCTTTCTTTCTGTCTATTCACTTGCTCTGCTTACAAAACTACAATGTCCTCAACTGTTACCCTCCCCCCCTCCCCCATTACTCCTGAAGTTCGAATGACGGGGGTGTTTTACCGAGAATAAATACTGAAAATAGGTGTTTGTTAGAGCCTTCAACAAGTACTCCCTCTCTCTTCCCGAAAAAAATTCCTGGCTACCAGCACGAGTTTAAGGCACGAGTTTCTTCGAAGGTGTGGATTAGAGTACCACTAATGTAACATGTTTAAAATTATTTGCCTGTTCGTTTGTTCTGCTTATCGGTGGTCGCATTTTCAGCTTCAGCTGTATGCCAGTAGTGAGGCCGCCATTTACCGCATCTTGGCATGGCTGCTGGCCCGGCAAGCCTGGCTGGCACTTTGAAATGTCTTGAAACACCCGTGCAAGGACACGAAACCGCACTTTCGAGAACAATCTGCTCAACTGCGCGGTAGGACGAACATATGCAATGGATAAAAGTTGTCAATATGGATTCCAGCGGAACTGTCTGCAACATATTACTTCCGAATAAATTATGGTACGCGATGCAGGTTCATCCGCCGTCAGGAGTTTATATTCATATATTTCAACGCCTAATCACACTGCTTATGTGGGGATTCACGGGCGGCAGTGAAGCGGTGCCGATCTCTTCTTGCGAGTGCGAAGCGAGGGTTCAGGATTGACTCGCCTTATTTAACGCTATATTGTTAGCTTTTTTTGTTCTTAAAGAATATACAGCGTCCTTAACAATTATGCAGAATTATCGAAGCTGGAATACTGTGCCAGCTTAAGCTTGCCTCAATTCCATCTTGAGGTTTGGCACTTGGATTTGCTCCCCCATGACAGCTTGCTTTTCATTTTCAATCAATCATTTATACCATAAGGCGAGCTGACAATATACATATTTGTCAGTACTGATTAAGAAAGCAATCAGTAGCTTTTTTTTTAGAGTGGTTTTAATTTGCAGTTAGTAGAGTCACTCTTCCGATGACCAGAATGAGACCAATTCTTTGGAGACGTAGAGGAAAGACCTTACAGATTCTAAACTGTATGATAAAGTTAATAAAAAACTTCACTACTTTTTTCTGGCTAAAAAGCTTACAAAAGTAAAAAAAAATTATGCCGTGACCAGGATTCGAACCTGGGTTATTGCGGCCACAACGCAAGGTACTAACCACTATACGATCACGGCTGTCCGGCTGGACGGGTGCTAGCGCAGCAAAAACCGATCCAGACTCGGAGCAGTAATGAAACTGACTCGCTAAAGTAGATCACTATGAGCGATGCACAAGAAGGAGCAATTATAAGAAAGAAACAAAACGCTGGACATGATGGAGTGTATTGGTTTTTATCCTTCGTGAAGTGAGCTTCGGTAGCATCGTACGCAGAATTGAACAATTTGGTTAAAAAACAGATAAATACTCGGTCAAATACAAAACGTTGCTCTGTACAGGAACGGCTACCTTTCAATTCATGGCAACGATGGTTGTTGCTCACATTTTTTTTTATTGCGAAATTATCAGCCACTCTAGTGATATAAGCATGAAAAAGATTCTAGAGGGACAAGCTACAAAATTAAGGAAGGGGTCAGGTGTGTCTGATCGCTGTCGCCGTCTTTGCCGCAAAAGAAATTGTGATTCCTTAACTCGATGGTGCGATAACATGTGTACTCGTTGCGTGGTACGAAAAGGCATGTATAAGCGTAGACAGATTGCTGGAATCAACTGTGTGGGGATTTTCGTTTCCCCCACTGCGTTTTAACACTACTGCTGCATACAACAAACGAGTGATCATATCGCATTCCAAAAAAGTAAACTTTTTTTTTGTAAAATTGAATTCTGCTTAGGGCACCGCACACTTACGAAGTTCTCTTTTTCACGCACACTAAAAAAAAAAAAGAAATGAAATTCGAAAAATGAAGAAGGCGCCCAACGAGGAGTTCAAACCCACGACCCTGAGATAAAGAGTCTCATGCTCTACCAACTAAGCTACCCGGGCTGTACATCAGGGGTATTTTAAAATTTTTGGTGTGAGTACAGGGCACAGATGTTTGACAGATGTTTGCCAAGACTATCGCATCCATGGTCATTGAACACTGCGCGGCAACCTGATACGAGATTAAAGATATATATATATATATATATATATAATATATATATATATATATATAGTATAGCAGGCGGTGCGCTGCGCCCCCCCCCCCCTATTATTTTTTTCACAGCTGATCGTGCCACGTCGACCACGTGCCACGACGGGGACGCTACGCTTCCCCTATCTGTGTCAGCACAAGACATATCGTTCGGACTCGTGTACATGTGACGAATAAACGTCACAAGGCTGGCTAATCGGGTACGTCGGATATGCTACAGCTATATACGCCTGGAAGGCAGCTTTATCGACGCAGTTGGAGCGAATTAAGCGTGACTCGCGCGTACCTGTAAATAGGACCCCGCCGACCAGCCACCGTCGCTTGCAGGGCCCCACCCGCAATAAGCACAAACGACCAAATTTCCAAATACTGAATGCTTATGCCGGGTCCCATTTACAGGTACGTGCGAGTCACGCCTAATTCGCTCCAACTGCGCCGATAAAGCAGCCTTCCAGGCGTATATAAGCAGTAGATTATCCGACGTACCCTGATTAGCCAGCCTTGGGACGTTTATTCGTCACATGTATACGAGTCCGAACGATATGTCTTGTGCTGACACATCTAGGGGAAGCGTAGCGTCCCCTTCGTGGCACGTGGTCGACGCGGCACGACCAGCTGTGAAAAAAAAGAAGGGGGGGGGGGGCAGCGCCTGCTGCGGAGGGGGGGGGCAGCACCTGCTTCCCTGTCGTCCCTAATACTGAGCCGCGATCTCCTAATTGCACAGCTGCGCACATAGCAAGAGAACGGGCCCTGAGTTCTTTAACGCGCGGTTCATTGCGTTAATTACGTCGCACACACACTCGCCAAAAAGTTAATCGCATTCGCGAAACGCCCGGCGGACGACGCGTCGTTGATTCCCTAACTCTGAGACACGATCTCTTAATTGCACAGCAGCGCACGCAGCAAGAGAACGCGCCCCAACGTTTGCAAGGTGCGGTTCATTCCGTTAATTTAAACGGCCAGCATCGCTCATGCACTCGCAAAATACACCGCGGACGACACCAAACTCTCGCGAGGAAGCCAAAACTACAGGGGCGAATTTCTATACCAAATTTGGCGGTAGTCTGACAACACTGACCCTCTCACTCTGGCAACATTTTATGCAACGCCAAACAGAACCTTGCCGAAAATCACGCAAGATCACCAGAGGCTCCAGTCGTGGAAACCATACTGGTGGCTCCGGTGCCGCTCTATAAATCTCAAGAAACCAGTGAATGCTTTCTCTGAAATAGACACAGGCCGGCCGTGCATCCTTATCAAAGTGGCAACCTGCCATTCTCGCTCTCCATATGCAATGGAGGCGCATGAGCGTAACTGCATCAAAAGGAGCCCCATCATCGTTGTCTACATTTAGAACTCTAATGCCATGCGGGTCCAATGGGAATTCTTTTTTCACTTATCTCTGCAAAACATCGCAAAAATAAACCCCCTACCAACAATTCGATCACGACTGCCCGTTGGAACGGGTGCTAGTGAGAAAAAACTAGGGCAGATCTCAGAGACTGGTTCGCCGTGACCTATGTGCAAGATTGAGGGAAAAAACAAGCTAAACAATATAAACAGCGCCAAGTGAAAGGGTAACAGTTTCGGGATAGTGCACGTGTTGGTGGAGGTGGGATGGCGCTTCTTTTCATATGTGTCCAGTTTTTAAAAGAACTAAGCAAAAAAAAAAAAACTATGACAGCAACAAAAATCGTATACAATCTTCGAAAAAAGGACAGTTCACGGCTTTTCCTATCTGACGAGCGTATCACGTTAGTAAATGACATGATAGCCGAGTCACCGTCCAGACAAATGACGTCATGTATTATTGGCAGCCGCTATTACAGAAATCGGTAAATGCTGTGATGCCATCTGGAAGTACTGCATGTAATCATCATCATCATCATCATCATCATCATCATCATCATCAGCCTGACTACGTCCAGTGCAGGACAAATGCCTCTCCCATGTTCCGCCAGTTAACCCGGTGCTGTGCTTGCTGCTGCCAATTTATACCCGCAAACTTCTTAATCTCATCTGCCCACCTAACCTTCTGTCTGTAGTACCATTCATCAATAGTGCAACCATCTGGTGCTACGGTAACTACAACAGCCCCCCCCCCTTCGGCAAACTAGGACAAAAAAACGTGAAAAAAGACTGAAGAAATACAATAATCACAGGTCCAGTCTCTTTGGCCAACGAATCATTCTGCCGAACTGCGAGACGCGTGGCGGAGAACTCCGAGTGGAAGTGCTCTGCCAAGGTGCTTGGTCATCCTCAGGTCATCTAGATTCATACGAAGGTCGTGTCGGTGTAGTAGTCTCGGTCTCGGCTGCCACGGGAGTTGCAAGTGGGCTGGCCATGCATGTCTCTTCGTTGGCACAAGGTGCTTCCGGTGCACTGGAGTACACGCGCCACGCAGGAGCGTGGGAGTAGAGCTGGCCCCAAGACTGTCGCTCGGGAGTGAAAGTCTTGTTCCCAGAACTGCTCTCCAGCCTGTAGAGGTCGCAAGGCGTGAGCCATGTGTCTCCGGTTCTCTACGTTCGGTAGAGTGAAGGGGACTCAAGGGGACTCAAGGGGACCAAGCTGCCCCCAGAAGATGCGATGTCTTCAGCAGCCCGGTCTGTAGGTGCTTACCCATCAGCATCTAAGCACGACTAACTTCATTTACACCAGGGCTGTCCCAGTATGCCAAAAGTGCCAGGATCATGTGGCTTCCGTAGCAGGTAGATTGTCCTAACCATCTTCCAGCTCCCCGTTCGGCTGTGAAAATTAAGGGCTGCTGCTCAGCACAAAGCAGAAGCCATAAGACTCTGCAAAGGGGAAGAATTCTTTCGACGCAAACTGAGGACCGTTATCGCTGAGCATCAGCCTCGGAGTTCCATATCGTGCGAAAACGCTCTTGACGGCTTAGATGACCGCATCTGCGGTGGTTCAACGTAGGCTGATGACTTTCGGGAAGTGTGACCAGTCATCTACCAGAAGGACGCCGTCTTATCCGTTCAGGGGAAAAAATCACAGCATATCCTCGCAGTGAATTACGATGAGTGGGGTGAAGCGTCTGTCCGTCCGTCCGCCCATCCGTGCGTTCGTTCGTCCTCCCGTGCGCCGCCCGTTCATGCGTCCATGTGCCCATCCTTCCGTCAGTGCGTCCATATGTCCCTCCATGCATCCGTTCATGCATCCATACGTTCATGCATCCATCCGTTCATGCATCCATCCGTTCATCCATCCATCCGTTTGTTCATCCATTCATATGTTTGTGTGTCTGGCTGTCTGCCTGCCTGTCTCTGTCCGTCTGTCCATATGCCTGTATGTCTGTCTGTCTGCCCATCCGTCCGTTCGTATGTCTGTCACTAACATCATTGCCACCTGCTGAGTGAGTCATACAACTAGGTGGTTACGAACTAGTCACAGACATGCAAGGACAGACCCAAGGCTCTAGAAGCTTCGCCCATAAAAAATTGATACCGACCTCCTCCCAGGGTAGAGTTGGAGATGGTAACGGCAACATGAGCTCCGAGCACTGCACCCTGGTTTCGGCGCATGTGGAGCAGTATACACCAGTGTTTCTATCTGGTTGTTGATGCCCGGCCACCAGACTGACTCCCGAGCTAAAGCTTTGTATAGGTTGATACCTCGATGCCCATCATAGATGAGCATAACCGTGCCGAAGGGCAGACGGCACGACGATGCGGGAATCATGGAGAAGCAAGTCCTCACAGACGCTGAAGCCCCCTTGGTTTCTGCCGGTATCTCTTCACATGGAGAGACATGTGGGACTGCCGAGGCCAGACTTTGGAGCAGTATTGAAGTAGAACTGCACTCGCCATCGTTGGCTTGGGCCTAGCGTAGGGGCTCAAGCTATGATGAGGCCATGTCTGGGAAGAAGCGAACGACTTCACGTGCAAGGAGTTCTATTTATTAAACCCGGGTGGATGAAGGAGACTCCGGCGGTGGAATAAAACATGTATCGGCACTTGCTAACAGCCTCCCCGGTACGTAGAGTACTTGGTACTGGAAGTGCATGAGCTTCCAGTGAAACCGCTGGATTCCCGTTGGCAGAAGTTCAAACCATAACACCACAGAGGCCGCCAGTGGTTGATAGTTCATCTCGAGAAAAAACAGAAGTCCATGAACCTATTCCTAAAGCCTTTGCACCACCCAGCTGGTCGCCAAAGCTTCTTTTTCTGTTTGGCTGTACCAGCATTCCGTGGATGTGAAGGAGCGCGATGCAAAAGCGACGGCTTGACGTCTACCGTACGGCTGTTCGTGAAGAAGTACTGCACCGAGACTATAAGATTTGGCGTCAGGCGAGATCGTGGCCTTATATGTAGCGTTGAACGAAGCCACGCAGAGGTCTGAACCCAGTGGCTTTTCTAAGTTCGGAGAAGGCGACTGCTGCGCTGGGCCCCAAGTCCAGGCAAAGTTCTTGAGCAGATGCTCGGATCGGCGCAACAATCTCCGAAACTGTGGTAAGTGTCTGATGTGGTTCACAAGGTCCAGCACGACGGACTCCTGCGACATCTTCAGTGGAATCATGGCGCGTATCACCACAACCTTCCTCTCGGTCGAAAATGCCTTCTGCGCCGACTAGGACGCCCAGAAACGTACACCCTAGAAGTGGCGAACGAACACATCGTGCGGTTGAGCGTGACTTCTGTCTTTGCTATAGCCGGTGCACGACTTGTCGGAGACGGTGGTCATGTTCGGTGCGTGTCCTCCAAAAGATCAGGAGGTCGTCTAGTATGTTCACCACACTTGCTTGGCCGTCCTGGATTCGGAGCATCTGCAGCTGGAAGTGCTTCGGTGCTGACGTGATCCCAAATGGCAGCTGGAGGAAACAACAGCTTTGAAATGGGTTTAT